TCCCACCCCATCTTCTATTTTGCCTTTGCTCCCCTGTATCATCTGACAGTTGAGAAGAAATTATTGGATGGGCTAATGGTGAGCTTGTTTCTTGATGGATCTTGGTGCTTCTTTCTCAAGGAAGAACTATTGCTAACTATAAAATCTAAAAATCAAATGGAAATCGTTGCAGGCACAACTGCAGAAGTTATGTAGCTGGTCAGGTGCCATCTGTGGCTGCAGTTTACTGCTGATATTTGGCAAATCCAACATCTATATAAATGAAAAGGGCAAAGCACCCTGCAGCTCCCTGATTGTGTTATTGACATATATTCCATGATTATGTTATTGACATATATTCCTTGTTTACCTTCCTCCAAAACTCCCCGTGCGTTACACAAACTGCTGTGGCTTTGGGTTGTAGCCTAAGGAGGAGGTTATGCAAGGATAGGATGACCTTTGTGTTCCTGTGCAGTTACTTTACCCATGGGAAGGATGTGTTTTGACCCGCAAGTTGCCTGTGTGACACTTCATAGGTCACTTGACCTTCCTTTTTTTCCCAGCCTTAAAATAGGGCTAAAAGCTCTCTCCATAATACAACACAGTCTTTCAGCGCAGCAACAGATTCCTCAGGTAAAATCTGTAGAAATCCATCCTCTATATTTAAAAACTGTATGTTTGACAACTTTGGAGTTGCAGATCCTTCTGTTGAGCTGGACGGGGCCTCACGCTGTCTTGCACATTACTGTGACTTGTAAAGAGAGCGGGGCCCTTCCCGACTGTTCCGAACTGTCTGCTCTGCGCGCGTGCTGACGTAAATCCATATCTACCATCAGGCTCTGATGCGCTCCCGGCCATGCTGCTCTGAGCCAGGCTGGGGGTCTAATAACATCAGCAGTCACTCCGGAGATGCTTCTTGCATCTGCTTGGCTTTTGTGTTCATAACGCCGTGCATAGGAGCAGGTTTCATAAAACCACTGTTTGCCTTTCTGCTGTGGAAATGGCAGGTTTGCAGAGCGCCCTGTCAGGGAGGGACGAACTAGGTTGCTGCTCTCACTCCTTTTCCCTTTGTTAGGATTCTGCTCTGCTTCAGATTGTGGCTATTCCTGGCTGAATGCGTTGTCTTACAAGTTTACGGTGCTTCCCATATACACACAGAAAAATATTTCCCCTCTCCTTCAGTGCTCAGTGTAAACTACACTCTAATGTTTGATGAATGGCAACAAATCTTGTTCCTACATAAAGTTGTTCCCTGGCATCTTTCATGCCCTCTATTCCCTACCCTCTGACCAGATCGAAAGCCTTCTGGGGTTCAGCCTTGCTGTTTTCTAGGTTGTCAGCACTTCTCAGGAAGGAACGTGAGTCGCAGGCAGAACATCGTGCACGCAGTTTCCAGGGTTACCTGTGTAGCGCTGATAGCCAGCAGGAAATTAAAATGCTCCACGATGATAATACGTTATCGGCAACAGATGGTAGCCATTAGGTGTACGTGCATGTCAGGGGAGGGTGTAAAGGCAAACAGAGCAGATGCAGCTATAGATGTCTGTAATCATCACTGGAGGTGTCAAGCTCCGCTTTGGATGAAGCCGGGCAGTCCCTGAGCCCCTGGTTGCACCTTCTGGCCATGCTGTGAGTGACACTGACAGCTCCTGGGAGCAATTCCAGGTAGTCAGTGTGGTCTCAGGTTATCTGTTTGCAGAGTTTTTCTCCTGAACAGCTCTTCTATGCAGCTAGTGCTGATTCTTTCCTAAGAAGCCTCTGTCTCTTACCTTGGGCCCTTGTTCTACTTTGTAACCTCTCCAAACATGGTCCAGCTCCCTGCAGCCTTTGTGGAGACAGTGCTGATCTGCTGTGGCCTGTGTCATGGATGTGTCAGGGGAATGTTACATCTGGGAAATTTGAGGGTTTTGTTTGCTGACCTTTTAGACTAGCAAAGCCCTGAGCACTTTTATTGCCAGAAGATCTGTTTCCTTCCTCTACCTCTGTTTCTTTTTGTTTTTTTTCATAGTCTTTGGTAACTCCAAAACATAGAGCTGTGCTGGAGTATGCATCCACATGCTGCTTGCGGTGCAGGACACTGCACAGTTCTCCCTGATGTGCCTCTTCTAGACATTTGTCTGAGTGCAGAGGCACTGGCTGGTGTGTGTTAGGATGAAACAGGGTGCAAAGTGTCCTCGAAGAGAGTGACACGGGTGTTCAGACCTGGAGAAATGACTGTGATGGCTCAGCTTTTCTCTAAACTCTTGCTTGGCTTTGCTTGTGAGATGTGGAGGCACGTGGAAGGCTACTTCTAGATGTGCTCTCCTCTTCAGCCCTGGCTTTATAAAGTGTAGTTTCAATTAACCTTGAAATGCCTGAAGTTGCATGAAGGCTAGGCTTTTTCAAACCTAGCACAAGCTGAAACTTTTAATAAAGCCCCATAAACTTTCTTTCAGCATAGCACACAGGGGTCTGACATAGCATTGTGCCAGCTGTGTGATCTCAAGCAAACCAAGCACCCTAAAATCTGTCGTTTTGAGATAAGTCAGCACAAATGTGTAGCTTTCTTGGTTATTGGCTGGCAGAACTTTCTGTGCTTGTACGTGTAACATTTTTAATACAAGTGTTTGCTTTCAGATGTTCTGAATGACGCCATCTTTGATGAAGATCATGACGAGATGGTAATTGTGAAGGACATAGACATGTTCTCGTTGTGTGAGCATCACCTCGTTCCATTTGTTGGAAAGGTAACTCTTCCTCCCCAAATAAATACTGGCATACAGGATAGAAGACCTGAAGTACATGCAAAAGACTTTGTAGCTGCTTTTTTAACTTTTTTTTTTTTTAACAATAATTATTTACCACTTAGACTATGATTTGAGCAGTTAATATTTAGAATAGAAGCTTAGAATACACAATTTAGAATACAGATGAGGAGGATCTTCCCAAAGTGAGTTGTATTTCTGTTTAAGCCCATAAAACATAACGCTCAACCCTTTCCAGTCTAAATAATCTAATGTTTTCTGACATTTCGTATCAAAGCTCTTCGTTGTGAAGCAGCAGCAACCCTCGGGGCAGGCATCTCAATATTAAACCTGCTCACCCTGCACGCTGGCTCTGCTCTGTCATGGATTACGTTGCTGGCTCGGAGCTATCTAGTGCATATTTGTCTCAGGAACCCCTGCAAATGGCACAAACTTCTGATTAGCAGCACTGTCTTAAATAAGCAAGCACAGTCAGAAGGGCTGTGCTCAGAAATGACTAGCAGGAGGCCACTGCAGTTGGGATTCCCTTGAATGGGGGGCTTGTGTAACAGATGATGTTGAAGTTGGAGTGTCAACAACCTTAAAAAATCTTCTCGAGTTAGGCACTGTAAATGTGGTGAGGTGTTTGGAGTTGGAAATCACATCTGCACATCTCAGCCTCTTCACTCCCACCTTAACACAGAACGATGGAGCTTATTTTAATCCATCTGTTTTACCATGAAGTACTTGGGCTGGCGAGTGCAAGTGCTCATCTTCTGTAAAGCTTGATCAGTGCCATGTATGGTCCAAGTATACCATCTCCCCAAAACAAAGCGTGTGAAGACAAACCACTTAATTTACCTAGTGGAGTCACCTCTGTTTTGTCTCCTTTCTTTCCTTGCTGTTAGTATTTTATAGTAGAAAACAAAGTAACTTCTTTTTCTCTGCAAGCTTTCCATTTCGTCTGTTTTTCTTGGTTACATGTACTGTGTATATTCTATTCTATTCTACTGTGGCAATATATGCATTCTTTTTACATCTAGCTGTTTAGCCTGGGTGGTTTGAGAAATGTCCTCGCAAACACTGAGTCAGTCCTGCTCATATAACGGTCTGCTAAATGACTTGGTGTGTCTCTAAATATTCTCAGACTAACCCTTCTCCTGTTGGGTACATCAAACAGCCTGCAAATGCTGGTCAGTGGGTCCTGTATTTGCAGCTCTATCTTAAAAATAGACATTCACAAGGATACTTGGATGGGGAACAGGATTCAACGCTGATTTCTGAGTTATGTCTTTTACTTGATCTGAAATGTTTCATGTCTTTCAGGTGTCAGTGGGTTGATTACCCAACAGAAGTGATAGGAATGAGCAAGTTAGCCAGGTAATTAGGTGCACTGTGGTACCTCTATTGCAGGTACAGCAAAACAGGATGCTGAGATGGGGTCTCTAGGCAAAGCCCTAAGAGAGAATCTATGATACTCCCCTACTGTATCTTGGCTAATTTTTCAAGTCTCTGGTACAGTGATATAAAGCTGGCTTACAGACTGCTTCAACTGTGAATTCATGTGAATTCAGTACCCTGTGTTGCTTTTTAAAACAAGCAAATAAATGCCTTTTCCCCCTTCCTCCTCATGCAAACATTTGTTTATGTAAGAACTTATTTCACAATAGTGCAGTATTAATGTTCAGTAAATTTGCATTCAACTGCTGGAAGTTGACTTAATCATACAGTAATCTTTGGCACTACCAGTAACATATCAGTTGGCCTTAAAAAAGTTAGCAAGCGCAGCCTGATTTTGGTGGTAAAGCACTTGAAAGCCTTGGCTCTTGAAAAGCTGTGGTATTTCTCCCGCTCAGAAAACTCACGTATTCTTCACCAGGACAGTGACCTCACCAGGCATTTAGTCTTTGGTAGCTCCTTAATCTTCCAGGCTTGCATGGTGGCATGTCCTTCCCACATGCTGGAACTGTATGAATCCCACTTCTGGATTGTTCCAGAATTAGTTCTGGGGTGGATGCAGATCTCATTCTCTCTGCATGAGTTTCACACGCATTTGGAAGTGAGCGTTTTGATTCTGTTAATGGTTTTCTCCTCTGTCTAGGTACATATTGGCTACCTTCCTAACAAACAAGTACTCGGGCTCAGCAAGCTTGCTAGGTAAGTGTTAATGTAGTGAAAGTGATGCTAATTTGTGAAAAGGATTCCAAGCTGTTCACACTGTGCTAATCTCCGTAATCCGGTATCCCTCTAAAACTCAGCACACTTTGCGTCCTCAGTTTGGATTTAGACCAATCCTCAGCATTTATGTTTTTTCTTTGTGGGGAGGACAGATAAGTCTTGGAGCTCTGTGTTAATTCGCATCACAGACAACTGTAGCAGAGCTGTTAACATTGTTGGACATTTTTTTTTCATGTTTTCATGTGTCTGCAGGGAACACAGGAACAAGAACAAGCAGGGAAACTTGTTCTTTCTAAAAAATAGCCAAAACCAGTGGAAATTTCTAGTTGTTTACTTCTGGCATGTGTATTGATCCATAAGAACTGATCTGCAGAACTTCTGAACTGTAAATGAATCCACTGTCTCTGGATTTTAACCAAACCTAGAACTTTCATATCTATTAGCTAACTCTTCAGATATAATTGACAATTTTCTTTTATTTGAGACCTGCTGAGAGGACTTGAGGGTAGATTTTATAGATAAGACTGAGCCTAAGTAATTATGATATGCTTGAGAAACATGGTTGTCATGTAAAATAGCTTTTTCCTCTGGCAAGTGCCCCTGCATCAGTTGCTGCACTGAATCTGTTATAAAGTGACACTTTCTGGTTGTAGTGGGGAAGGGAATGGTAGATCCCATAAATAAGCAGATTATGGGGTAGCAGAGTGGAGGGTTCTCTTCTGCCAAACAAATCTGAGACAACTCAGCTGCTCAGAAAGACCACGTAGGACTTGCTTATTCTTCCCTTGATGCATCTGCTAATCTTCTTGTAGTACCAGTAACACTAATGAGAATTAGCCTTGTAAATCTGCATGCCTGCTGGAGTTTCTTAGTGGAAAAGAAATGTGTAGGGTATGATGCTAAAGTGCTTCAAATTAATTCTGCTCTGTTCTGTGCTCCGTTTGCACAACGATGAATTAGGTTTTGAAGCAGAAAGTCCCTTGGAGGTCAAGCTGCTGCTAATGTAACCTCACTGTCCTGGGAAACCATCTCCAGGAGTGGTTATAGCAGTGGGCTCTGGTCTAGTAGTGGACACTGATTAAAGTGGGCTCTGATTAAAAGGTTGAAACAAGCAGTTCAACACTGGACTTTCATATTTATTTACCATGACTAGACCTACAATCTTCTGGAAGAGGTAATGTCTTTAGTTTTCTTTCTGAAGAGCATGAATTCAGAATTAAAGATGGCATTTGAAATAAGCATCAGTCGGTTTGTGTTTGCTCTGATCTTCAATTATCTCTGAATTGCAGAGGTTGAAGGGGTTCAAAATTGTCTTGAGTGATCCTTACTGCAGGTGGCAACATCCCTCAGTACAGAGACACGCTTGGAAACGTGCAAGGCTTCCACCACTGTTCTTTAAAGGTTAAATCTTGCCTCTTTTTCAGGTTAGGTTGAAACTCCCTGACAATATAATAACAAAAAGATTAGATTCCTGTATAACAAAATGTTTGCAGTCCTCATTGCTTTTGAGTGGTCCCCACAAGAAGAGATTGTGAACCAAATCATTCTTCCCTCCCTTGTTCTGTGTAATGCAGCCGTGTTCAGATAGAGCTTTGTGAGGCTGTTGGTACTGTGGGAATAATCTTTCATAATAGGATTAGCCTAATGTGGGGAGTTTCTGTAACTGTGGATGACCTGCATTCAGTAAACAAACATCTTTCTTTGGATTTTAAGCTCAGGCTGGAAATGCTAATGCAAATAGGCCTCTCTGCATATGAGAAGCCCTGCCAGCATCAACTTTTTCCTATGCATATATTTAATCTAAATATTATCTTGCTTTGTTCAGAATAACTGTAACACAACATTTCAGGAAGGGGGTTTCTGCATACAATTTTCTCCCCAAAACAGCAGGCAAATCTTAATGTCACAACCTCTTTTTGTGACCAATGCCTCTGGCTGCCAGAACGTATCTGTTTCTTATCCACTCCGGCCAGATGGGCACTGAAGTTGTCTTTCTACAGCAACTTCTTTACCTGGCCACTTGACATGTAATTAAGCGTTTGAGATTTGCAGGAATAACCACTCTGTAACTCAGTGGGTCCTCAGAGTTTTTGCTTAAGAATGTTGTTTGTAGGACTGTGGTGATGAATTATTGTGATATCGTTTGCATTGCCCCACAAATGGGTTAAATTTGAATTCACATTAGAGAGCAGCGCTGAGGTGATCCCTGCAGCTGAATGTGAATGATGGTGTGATACACTGGGGGAGAGTGTCTGTTTTAAATAATAATAGTAAAAAAAGATATTTCTCATTGTTCTCAGCTAAGTTTGTGGTTAAATGCAAGAATCCAAAACATCTCTTGCTCAGCATCTCTCTGGAAATGCAAATATCTGAACTGCCCTTAAAACAGTGCTCAGGTTACACCGAGGCAGGAGGTTGTAGGCTGTCTTAAATTCCAGGCTTCGCTTTCAGGAAGTCTTTGGGCATGGATCCCCTTGTAAACGTGTGTTCCAGATGGGTGTAGCTACAAGCGCTTCAAAAATAACAGCCGCACAAGAGCAGCCCTGAGGAGCAGTGACAGGGTCGGTCCTGGTGGGATGCGGTGCGCGGGGACGGCCTCACGCCGAGCAGCAGGATGGTGTCACCTGGGTTTCCAGGAAGGGAACAGCAGCAGAACCATGTCCCTTGCCTTTTCCAGAAGGGAATCGGCGGTCGTGCTTGGAAGTGCAGAGCTAGCTGTGAAGATCAGACAGTGCCACGACAGGAATAACTCTCATGAATTGTCTGTTTCCTCTTTTTTTCTCTCTCTCTCTCTTTAGGATCGTGGAAATATACAGTAGAAGACTACAAGGTAAATGGCTGATTTCCTTCCTAGCGTGTGCAGTCCTTTGCTAGCCAGCTCAGGGTAATTACATATGTGTAGATGCAGTCCTCCTATACACGAGAGTGTTGAGAAAAATAGTGTTCTTGACACAGGCCTTTCGTATCTGAGGCAGTGTGGAAGGGCTGGTTATTTTGTCTCCCTACTCATTGCCATTTCCCCTTTTCCCCTCCGGATAGACCCCTTGTGATGTACCTTTTTTTTTTTTTTCTGAATTTTGACATTAGAAAACCACTCTTCAAGGAAGAGCAACTGTTTTTGGAGCTGAGAATAGCTCTAGGGTGGGATTTGGATCAGGCTCAGCCTGGTTTCATTGTCCTGTACTTCTGTTTGGCCTGTTCGTGGCGACAGAAGTCTGAGGTGTCAGACTGGTAAATAGAGGGTGCTAGAGCTGTAGGAAATGAAAGTTTGCAGGAGCACAGACTTCCTAATTTGCTTGGTTTTGTCTATTTGTTGTTTCCTTAAAAAGAGAAAAAAAGTGTCCAAGGAGTGGATAACGTAGCTCTAAATTCTATGAAAAAAACATGTGAAAAATGAAAGAAAATACGAGACTTCCTAATTTGCTTGGTTTTGTCTGTTTGTTGTTTCCTTCAAATGAGAAAAAAGTGTGCAAGGAGTGAATAAGGTAGCTCTAAATTCAGTGAAAAAACATGTGAAAAAGAAAGAAAATACAAAAGTAAGAAAATCTAACAGCATAATCACAGAACCACAGAATGGCTGAGGTTGGAAGGGACCTCTAGGGCTCATCCAGTCCAGCCCCTGCTCCAGCAGGGACACCCAGAGCAGGGGCACAGGGCGGCATCCAGGTGGGTTGGAAGATCTCCAGAGAAGGAGCCTCCACAGCCTCTTTGGGCAGCCTGTGCCAGGGCTCTGGCACCCTCACAGCAAAGAAGCTCTTCCTCACATGGAGATGGAACTGCCTGGGTTTTAATTTATATAAACTAAATGATGTAATGGGAGATACAAGACCTGTTTTACCAAATCAGGGTACTGTACATTCCTGCAAACATGTGAAATGCAAAATGATTCCCCAAGTCACCAAGAATAAAAGGTCCGTTCTAGCAAACCAAAATACAGGATGGGATCTGGTTCTGCCGCTCCTCACACAACTGATGCCAGCAGAGCAGACGTAGCAGAGGTGGGATCAGGTCCCCTTGGAAGGGAGAAAGCAGCATCCTGATGTTGCTCTCCTGTGTGTCACGTGCAGATACTGCTGGTGCCTTAATGCTAGGGAGGTGCGAGCTGCTTGTGACCTTGTTGTCCTTTCAGTCCAGGAGCGCCTCACCAAGCAGATCGCCATCGCCATCACGGAGGCCTTGCAGCCCGCGGGGGTCGGCGTGGTCATCGAAGCCACGTAAGTGACACGGGCAGCAGTGCTCTTAGTGCCCAGCACTGTGTCCCTTCTGAACGTGCAGCTTCCCTGGCTTCCTTGGGATTCAGCTGGGCCCTGCAAGAAGCACGTGCTGCTCTTTTTCTCGCAGGGTTCCTGCGTGTCTTTATGTTGTAAATCAGCCTGCCTGGTTTATTGACGCTCGCTCTCATTTCTTCTAGGCATATGTGCATGGTAATGCGTGGGGTGCAGAAAATGAACAGTAAAACAGTAACCAGCACAATGTTGGGGGTATTCCGGGAAGATCCAAAGACCCGTGAAGAATTCCTGACTCTCATCAGGAGCTGAAACTGTGCCATTCTCCAAATGGAGGCCGTTCTGTCCGGTGTCACTGTCCGTTCTTCTCTGTTTTTACATCTCACTTTTAAACTAAATCGTCGTGAATTGTTGTCATAGTCTCTGTGCAGTGAAAGACTTCTGATGGCAAATGAGAAATGTAACGATGAGGTAGGTGCGTGTTGTCCACGTCACAGAATTACACAGCTGTGAACAGGGCTTTGCAAAGGCTTTGACATCGGGAGCACAAAATATGCTGCCATTGGGAGCAAAATGGTGTTCGGGAGCAAATTGGGTATTTATGGAATAGTTGTGTCCAGTAGGATAAATGCAGTGCAGCATAGGAAGCAATGAAAGGCTGTGGATCCTGCAGATAACTGCAGCACTGCCTGCAAAGCCCCGTCCTGTATTATCCCTGACTATATTTTATTATAAATCCTTTGGTGGCTGTTTCAGTGTCTGGATACGTATGCTATACCTCCTTGAGATGTTACCTCTGGTGGTGTTTTATATTCTTGCTAGTATTAATCCCTCCCCTCCCTTTTTTTCTTTTTTTTTCTTTGAGAATTAAAAATGCATTTTTCCTAGCCTGTTAACATTCAGGGAATTAATTGCTAAATAATTTGGGGCACAGCCTTATCTCAATGTAAAGGGTTTTAGGTTTTATGCACCTTCTTCTCTGTGCCTCAGACCATTTTAGCTATCATTTTCTGACGATTTTTTTAAGCAAACTTTTAACAGTTAAAAAAAAAAAAAGAAAACCTCAGAGTCTATGTCTGCAAAGAAATTAAGCTATCCAAAGAGGTTTAATGTTTTTTTTTAATGATTTTATATGTTGTTCTCCTCAGATTTCCATGGGTTTTTTTAGACTGAGTAGCTAAAACTAGTCTAGTATTTTGAAAACAAGGATTTCTCTTCAAACATTTCAAGATTTGCATCTCTTGAACATTGGATCAAAGGTGGGCGCTGAAATCTTGAACACGAAATGTTGTCAGGTCATTCCAGGGCAAGGTAACCTGAGATGACAACAACTTATTTCATAAGAACAATTGAGGAAAATATTTCCAGGGCCATCAAAATGAATTAGGCCACATTTTTGTGTGTATGTGGCAACCTCTGTATGTGGCAGTGTTGGTACAGAAAGCTTCAGTCCACTGGACTTGGCTCAACTTCTTATAATTTATTACGATTTTAATGAGTGTTTTGTAACTCTTAATTGGGAAAATATGATCCACAAATGAAAACCACCCTTCTCAAACTTAGTACTAAGTACTCAAACTAACTTAAAAAATGAAATGTCATCCAGCGTGTCAGATGGCCGCAGAGCCTGTTCTGTGCACGTATCTGCACTGATGGATTTGCTGACTATGAATCCAAGATGTTTTTCTATTCTAACCTAAAAGGCAACTCCTAATCTTACACATTCAGGCTTCTTTTTTCTTTTTTTTTCCTTCTTTTTGCTGGAAACAAAGCAAGCATTATGCCAAGCTAAATTTTAATCAAGCCTAAAGAGCTTTAAACAGTACAAATTTCAAGAAAGGCTTAAAAAAAAAAACCCATCTCTATTTATTCTTGTATCTACCCACTCTTCTTTTTGCCAATAACCTCATGTATTTCATGATACCAACCTTACTTTGAAGACCATCACAGTATTATTAGGAAAAAAAAAATCCTTTGCAATATCCTGTATCCTTGATTCTGTATTTGCAAGGTGCTGTAAAACCATTTCTCTGCTGGCACAACCAAGCTGCAGTGTTGCACGTTTATAAAATACACCAACTCTCTGGATTTTGTTTTCTTTAAGCAATTGAAGGCAGATATTGCCCGTTTTGTGTTCCGTATCTGTTTCAAATGTCCAGCTAAAAAGCCTTAAAATCACCCTTGTCTGAAGTTCAGAGTAAAACTTTCTCTCTTTTTAGCTCAAGAGTTGGAAGGAGAACTTGAGGACCAAAGAGGCACCCACTGATGTTTGTTTGTCTGCTGCTTTAGTCATTTGAAACTGTTAATTCTCCATAAAATGCTGTCTTGCTCCGGAGGTAACGAAAAGGTTGCATTTTAACCACTTATCTTCATTCAGGATAAAGTTCACATTGCACCACCACCAGTTTTTATTTCTGTGACCTGTACTCCTTAAAACATACCTCTCTCTACTTGTGGCCTTGGATTTTGTTCACATTTTTTGCTGTTGCTGTTTGGTGCATATTTTTTTTTTGGAACTTCAGTATTGATCACAGCCATGAGCTTTGTCTGCAGCCGGTGTGTGTGTGTGTGTAGCACCTGCAGCTGCCCCGTGGCGCGTGGAGTCGCTGTCTGTGACACATTAAAGGCAGTGTTACCCCTCGGAGTGGCAGCGTCCTTGTCGGCTCGCGTGGCCCTGTGGCCAATGCCCCTGTGCTCAGGGTTGTCCCTGGGCCAGGGGCTGCTTGGCCCTGTGCTGAGACGTCCTCTCGGGCTCCTGGTGTCAGCGTTGTCCCCAGGTGGGTCTCTGTTTGTCGCAAAAAAACCCCAAAGCGTCCTCCATCCAGCAGGATTTTTTGTTGCCGGAGGAGCCTTCAGAAAACGTATCTGGACACAGGGAAGATGGAAGCAGTGGCTGGTTCGGAGCATCTGTGAATCTCCCTCTTCTCAGCTGCCAGCATCAAGGGAGAGGGATTTGGGAGTCCTGGTTGACAACAAGGTACCCATGAGGCAGCAACGTGCCCTCGTGGCCAAGGAGGCCAATGGGCTCCTGGCTGCATCGGGAGTGTTGCCAGCAGGGCCAGGGAGGGGATCCTGTCCCTGTGCTCAGCTCTGGGGAGGCACCTGGAGCACTGGGGGCAGTTCTGGGTCCCCAGGACAAGAGGGACCTGGAGCTGCTAGAGAGGGGCCAG